ACCGGTGGGTAGGGAAGGCAAGAAAAGGCTTAGACCCGAAGAAAAGGGGGGAGGGGGGAGTCGGATTCCTGGTCAAGGAACACTTGTTTGACGTGGTGGAAGTAGTGGTGAAAACGGAGTTCGAGGAAAGCCTATGGCTTAAGATACCTGGGGAGCGGGGTGAGAAAGATTTGTTTCTAAAGGGAACGTATACGTCCCACCGTCGTCGAAGAAAGTCGCAAGGACGCGCAGGAGAACTTTGGACAAATTGGGGAAGATGTCCAGAGGTTCAGTACGAAGGGAGAAGTTGTCATGGTGGGCGATTTCAACTCCAGAGTAGGGAAAGCTTCCAGTAGAGGACAGGCGATCGGGCAGCACGGAAAAGATCAAGTGAATGACAACGGAGTGAGGATGCTTGATATCTTGGGAAGCAACGAACTGATGGTGTTGAACGGTGGGAGGGAATGCGATAAGCCGGAGTTCACCAGGCAACGGGCAGTTTGCAATGAATACTCAAGCCTCGACTACATCCTGGTAGATAGGGGGAGCACACAGATCCCAGAGCTGCACGTAAGTGCGATAGATAGAGGTTCGACCGACCACTTCCTCACAAAGCCAAAAAGGAAACCTGAACCTCAATGGATCACAACTTCTTGCGGTTGATACCCGCAATTCGGGCGGTAGCTACGCTCGAACTCCTCTTCTCGCACTACCAGGTACTGAATTTCACCTTTCAGTGTGGTTGGGTTAGCAACGTCGCCCACACAGCCGTGGTGCACATGCATTGATGGGCTGTTCAGTGCGGCATGGACATCGGCAGCGAAGGGCTCCAGTTCAGCGTCTGAGAACGACATGTACACGCAGGATCCTCGTCCCTGGCGCCAAACATTACATACAATACGTTGGAACACTGACTCCTCGCCGTTGTTTGACTTTTACAGGAACACATGGCAAGGACGTTGATAGCCATACGAACAATCGTCAAGCTCATTGCTAAATCCTTGGGTTGGGTCGTACGAGGCAAAAAGTTGAACCGGCGGCAAGGCACCACACTATTTGTCTGCGTGAACATCATTGTCCGCATATGCAGCTGAAGTAAAGAGAGAAAACATCATAATATCACTCGCGACAGGCGCGCGCTGTGGCCACGTGGTGAGCGAGTGAGTGCCGCCATATCAACCACTAGGCAAGAGAATGAACATGATGGATGGGATTCAGTAATTGGTTTTCAAAAACGAAGTGTGGTCCGGCGCGACAAACGCTCCTGCGTGCCGGTGGAGCGGCGGAAGTGGGTATGTCGGCTAAATCGCTTCGTCGCAGCGTGAAATTCATTTTATTTTTCATCCAGCAGGGCTACAATTAAAGGCAAGTGTGGATGCCGCACACACATCAGCAAAACTCGTGGTGCATAGGTAAATCCATGCGTGAGCACGTGTATACCTGGTGTGGTGCAAGGCCTTGCTTCCGGCGTCCAATGGCGTCCGTCTACTCGACATATCAATAAACCCCACACCAGTTGCTTGGCGATTTCACAACAACCCCCCCCAGCACCACGCACCACGCACCACGCACCCTTCTTGAAAAACAACATTCGATCGGTGCATCGATACTGCCACTGGAACCGTCAATCCTGCAACTTCTTCGTCAAACAGAACAAATGCAGTAAAACTTGCTGCTTATGCACTACATACATATGAATGCTGTGCACCCCACCCCAAGTCTCAACAGATCGCTTCGACATGTATATGCATGGACAGAAATTATTGAAAGAATGGACCGACGAGGTACGCGACGAGAAAAACAGAAATACAACGTGAGTGCAGTGTCACAAGAATCATTCAACATAAACATAAATCGGTTCCGATGCTCTTCCGTGCTAGTGGTTAGCGACCAACACCACACCCAAAATCGCGTGATCATTGGCCAGGCAAGGCACCCAAAACATGCATCGATAATTTCCTACCCGTGCCCCCTCCTCCCAACCTCCCCATTCCTGCGTGCCCGTAACCCTCCTATCATACCGCTTCATTCCATTCTGCGTGACCCCCCTCCTTCCCTGAGCGATTGGTTGGGGCCATCGCCCACACATCCCACCGTGCCCGGATGTGGGCATGCTGAGGTACAATCGCTCCGTTTCGCAAGCCGCCTTGCAGCACATGAGCGGTATGAAGCTACGCGTCGTTTGTTGATCAATCGGAGCACCAGCTGCGTCATCGTGCTGCACAGGGAGAGAGAAAAGCACCAGCATGCTCGCCGGCAAAAGACATGTCTGTACGGGACAGCCCCCCTCCATCTCCCCTCGTTCTCTCGCTATTTCGTGGGTGACTGACAACAGGAAACTGTTTATGGCGCTGAACAGAGTACGGCTCGACTCGCAGTGTCCCTCCCTTAACAACTCACCCTACCGCCCAAAACAGTCTCCACATGCAAAAGGAAAGTTCCCCAAGTGAAAACTCCTCTCTCCACCTTTCCCGTCTTGAAAAGAAAACGTTCCCGGAAAACTAGTGCATCTTCTTCTTCTCGCACACCTCATAAGCATATCCTGGCAAAGACTCTCTTGAGCGGGGAAACCAACAAAGGGACAAATGAAAGCTCTCGGTATCACCCCCCCTGGAAAAATATTAGAGTACAACATCGTGCGTGTTTTTTTCTCCACGAAAACCATGGGAAGTCACTGTGCTCAGTCAGGGATAGCCGAAGCATGACACCAAAAACACATGAAAAATAAGTGACATAACACATGATTCACAAAAGGGGAACATCGAGCGAACAGCCGGGGAAACAAAAAAAAGGGCGAGGGAAGCCACCAAGATAAAAAATGCCCAAAGCATCGGCGAGTGGCGTGGCTTCTATCGCGTAGCCCCGAGGCCCAAAACGTGACTGACGCCATGACATTGCAGCAAGAAATAAAACGCACGCCACCACCAGGACCAAAGGCACCCAATACACCAGCAACAAAAGAAAAAAAAAAAAAAACACGCACGCGACCTCTTTGGCCAAAACCCCAAGGACCCGAGCTCAAAACATAGCGCACCGATGCCCACCAAGACAAAAAAAAAAAACGGCCCCTCTCTCAGTGGAAAAATGGACCAACACCTGAACACGCAAGCAAGCAATAACACGTCCAACATAACATCATCTCTCTTCTTGGGCAACACGGCACCCCATCCAGTCCATTCTGCACGCCCCCCTATTCGTTGGAAAACCTCGCCATGCTTCACGCCAAAGGTCACGACCGCCGTGCTGCTGCGGCATCCATGTCAACTTGTGCGGTTGTCAGGGTAACGTAGCCTGCAGAATGGACAAAACGGTGCGAGGCGTAGCCAGACGGATCGTGCAAAAACAGACAAGGTAAGCACCACGGGACGCGGGGAAGCAACGGGGGAGATGGGATACAAGAGCTTCTTTGGTCAGCGGCAACTTCGTGAACCAAGTATCGCCAGGACAAATCAACTGCTGGAAAATCGAATGCGGCAAGTCCATGCTAATGTATGAGGTCGCCCAAGAGTGACAGTGTTACCGGCTCGAAAAGTACCAGAGGGATTGAGATGGTCGAGAAAGCGTTGGCAGCGTGAAGGCGATAAAACCGGAGTAGATCAACACATGTCACTCCTCGACGAGACCTGCAGTTGCAACTACAGTCTCAGAGGCACCGTGACTTCACCGGCGTTAGCGGTGAGAAAGGTGCACGGAATCGTATCCCTGTGTCTTAAACTCCGACAACGACCACGTACAACCCGCCCGTGAGTTTCTCAGCCCAGTGCATCCAATGAGTCCGCCGCGAATCCCACACGATTGCTCTACCGCTGCAACGGGGGACGAACGAACACGATAGGAAACTGCAAACGACGTTGTTCCCGGAACAGCAAAGTATGAATTCTACACACCAAGGGTCGCGTAGTTAACCTCTAGCTTACCTCGAACGTAGGCCTTCAAACTCATGAACGGGGACGCCCTATGCAATTATTTACGAACAAGTCGTGAAGATCTACGACATCTCCCATGTACAAGCGTGTTTTCACTCACCCGATAAGAACATATCGATGGGAACGAGAGCCTTTTGCGACAGGTCCACCGGGGCTTGGTACATCTCCATGCTCACCTCCTGTGAACATCGAGGGCGGGGGAAAGGAGATCACGCTCGAAAATGACCAAGAACAACCATCGCAAACAAGGCCACTTTGTGCAAGCGTGTTTCTAGTGTTTTACATGAGCACCGAAAAGCAAGCAGCTGCGACATGAAGTAAGCAAAATAAGACTGTGGTGGGTGCGGGATTTCAATAGGAGTACGACGTGGTGAGAGCGAAATCGTCAAGAGGACCACACCAGGCGGTGGACTTTCGGCCGGTAATGGTGATGTTGCAACTTGATGCCGACAAGGCCAGGAAGATCTCTCGCACGTGAAGGAGGGTAGAACACTCCACTATCAATAATACACGCGCAACCAGACCAAGAGACAACCTCCCGAACAAATCACGGCAAAGCAAGACCCTCGCTCCCTCCCACCCCGCAGCAACAAAATAGCCGCGTGTTTCACGACATGATCCGTTCATTCCCAATAGCCTCGTAGCAACACCCCGTCGCTCAAACCCGCCTCCCAACAATGTGCGTCAATATTACGATGACGGCCACTGTCGCTGACGAGACGCAAACCATCCGCTTAACCACACACCCCGCCACAAACAATCAAAAACGTATGCCCGGCCTCTCGAGGACGGCATAATCAATTGGCCGAACACCAAAGACGCATTCATATTGCTATATACGTGAGTCGCCCCGCCCCTTCCCTCCGCCATCTTCCGTCCACCTGCCCCCCACCCACCAACAACCAAAACACGCCCCACCTGGGAGCTCATGGTGCTCTTGTTCACATGGATCATGCCCCACCCCAGCTCCCGCACGTCCCCGCTCCCGGCGACCCCTCGCCGGCCGGTCGGCACCACCTCCGTGCTCTGGTCCTTGACGGTGAACACCAGCCGCGTGCCGGGCTCGAGGTTCTCGACCGGGTTCTGCATGTGGTAGGAGGCGGACCACCACAGGTAGCTCGGGCGGCGGACCACCGGCGCGCTCGCGTCCTGGGCGGCCTCCACCTGACCAACCACCACCGCGTTGATTTGGTTGATTGGTATTGATTGATGCAGAAAGCATACTGAGGCGGTTTGTTTATGTTCTCTTCGGCATCTTTGGTTGATGTTGGATTGGTAGGTGCGTGGGCGTTGGAACTTCGGCATATTTTTCGGTGTTTGTGGTTTTTGGGGTCGGTGTCGGTTGGTGCGAAATTGTGGTTTGTTGGAGGCGGCGGCGAAAGGAAAAGCGGGGGAGGGGCGGCGACAAGGAACGGCTTACGGTAGGATGCCGCCGTACTTCACGGCACTTCACTTTCGCAACAGCCGTTACGGACGGCTAGCTAGCACGACGGCAGTACACAGCTGAAGCAGCAGCAGCTCGATCTCTCACCCTGCGTCCCCTCGAGTCGTGCACGGAGACGGTGATGAAGGGCGACTGGAGGTCGGCCGTGCTGTGCATCACCAGCCTCTCCAGGTGGAAAGACAGGTACGTCAGCGACGACAGCTTCACGGGAGGGGCCTTTGGAACAAACCGGAACAGATAAGTGGACAACAGGAGCACGAAAAAAAAGCATGTTGAGCAACGGTTTCTATATAATAACTTCCATAGCGGCAACAGCAAAAACAAGTAGGTGAGAGCAAAAATCTCGAACGGAGGTAGCGGCAAAGATACAGCAGCCGCTCAGCAGGGGTGGACGCATTGCGACACCACGACAAGAACCAAACCACCGACGAGGGGGCACTGCAGCTGCGACATGACTTCGATGGCAGGGGGTCGCCTTTGTAGGGACAGCAGCGGGGCAACACAAAAGACAAAAACACAACAGTCCGCCTCAGGTAGTAGCAGGCGTCCTTCCCTTGACAATAGCAGTCACCGACACATCGCCGAATGGGGGGTGCCAACAAGTGCCAACCGAAAGTGGAGGCGAAGCTCAGCTGTCACGCTGGCATTTTACATACGCGCTTCCTCTCCCCGTCGCGAACACCCTTCCTTGAACCGACAACGTCTGAAATATATGACGGCACGCCCTCTCCCCCCACCAACGCGATTCTCAAACCGCTCTCTCCAAATTTAGACCCCCGACCCGCCTGTCAGCCTCTGCGGTGGAGAAAATCCCGGCGACTTCCTCGCTGGCCAGGGTACGCGTTACGCATTAACGAATGGCTGCCTTCGACGCGCAAAAAAACAGCACACCCCACAGAAAGCCGCATAGTCTAACATACCAGCCAAGACATGGCAAAACACGGAAGTACCCCATAAAACAACGTCCCTGCGCCAGCGAGAGTGCACCCGACGCGCACAAAAACGCCATACCCTCCCCCTCCCCATTACTACGAATCGTACAACATGGTACCTCCTTAGGCATGCAAAACATGACGAAGTACACCACCCCCCCCACGCCGCTCACCAGCATCGGGCTCCTCTCCGCGGCCTTGAAGTGTCCCACGGCGATGTCCTCAACGTCCTGGTCACGATTGACAAGCTCCAGGGGGCTACGGCCATGCCTGTCCACCACGGTAAGGTCTCCGCCTCGCCTCACTAGGGCAGCCGCGAGGGGGACGTGTCCTCGACGGATGGCCAAGTGGAGGGCGGTCGAGCCGCCCTTGTCCGCCGCGTTCACCTCCGAACCGTTCTCAACCTGCAGTTGTTGTGTTGTTGTATTTCGTTTCACAACTGACGCCATCAATACAATTGTTGCTTCGCAGTATGTACAGCAGTGGACGATTCATGTGCGTGTGTGCCTTTCAATTCCGGAATGGCGTCAGCTCTTTGTTGCTACCATATACGTTTTGATTGCAAAGAGTGACTAGAATGAACAGAGGGAGACACGCGTCACGTCTTGCGTCGGGGGCGGCGGAGGATGGAGCAGCTAACAAAATCAAACAAAAACTAGAACACGGATTCCGGCCATGGCTGGTCATAGATCGACCGGTATCGACAAGCGACTCACGCGATATCCCATGCGACGATCAACTCATACCCCGGTCTCGCCACCCCAAAGTTGCGACGCAACCCAACCGCAGCAATGCTCCAGTCACACGATACATCGACCCACAGCACCCCTCGAACGCGCGCGGATGGAAACACCTAAAGCACATACCCGCAATCCCAACGACAACGAACCACAGAACATGGGTTCATCGCCGGGCGACCGGCGTCCGACTCACCAGCCAAGTGGCGATCTGCACCCTGCCAATGGCGTCCCTCTCCGCCTTGCCCTCGCCCTTGGCCGAGTAGTGCAGGGGCGTCTCGCCCGCCCTGAAAACCACAGTAGGTTTTTTCAGTCAAGCACCGAATGTTCGGAACGGAAAAAAAACGGTCGAGGAATATATTTCCGGTTCAGTGGCAGAACATTTGCATCATAGACGGTGGTATTGGAACCCTCTTCACGGCGCCTTGATTGCAAGACAGGGGGAAAAAAGCAAGCACCTCCGTAGCATCAACTCCATTTACGCAGCAGTGTCAAGCACAGGCAACGTTCAATAACAAAAGCACTCCAATCCGCCGAAATGACAAACAAAATCAACGGAGGCATGTCTACACACTGGATACACCGCAGAAGGGTAGTCCAAACACCGCCATCATGTAGCAAACCACCGAAAAATCCTCCCGAATAATAGCAACATCACGCCGTACGTAGCGCCAACCATCGTCAACTAAAGGACGGTATCATCAAAAGTACTGTTTATGCTCCGGCAGCCTCGCCGCAGCGAGGTAGTCGGACGACAAACGGCATCCCGTGGACCGACCTGTTGCGCATGTTGACGAGCTCCACCCTCCGGGCGACGTCGACGTAGCACATCGAACCCGCGGCCCCGGTGCGGACTAGGTTGTGGCTTCCGACCAGGACCCTGAGAGGAACCATCCACGAGTACAGCTCCTCTTCGCTCGACGCCTGACGAGTGGCACAGTGACACCGAGCAGCCACGACAAGAAACACACAAGAAGAAAAGAAATGACCGCGTTGGTAACACAAGCCGCACGGTGCAGTGCGTCCGTCACAGAACGAAAGATGGATCTCCACCTACGCGTTTGGCACACCAACAACGAACACCCTTTGATTCTCTATGGAAAGAACTTACACGCTGATCGAGGAGAGCAATCTTTGAAGGCAATCGGCGTACAAATACAGGGCCACACCATGACGGTAGCACGAGCACTGTAGTCAACCCACTCTAACGCCGAGCACCTGAACGGTAAGCACGAGAAAACACCCATTCCTGCAGGTATGGCGTAGGTCGATTTCATTCTTGGAAGGCACGCGTCTGTGGTGCACCATGTATGTCCCTTGTATTCTACCAAGGGACCAGGGGTCTTCCAACTCAAGTCAAGTGACGAGCTACCGTCCAACAGCAACCAACGACAACAACGATGTCAAGAGAGGACCGCCAAACATCACAAAGCATAAAACACCACCTCCGCACCTTGAAGTACAGACGGCCCTCACGGTTACGCTTGTCCCCCAGCAGCTTCCCCGAGTGCAGCTCGAAGCAGTGAGCCAGGTCAGGCGCCGACTTCTCCTTCCCCTTCCCCTTGGCCCCAACCGCCGCCCCCGGCCCCACACGGGGCGACACAGGGGGAAATGCCGCCTTAGGTACACCACTGCTGCCGTTGCTGCCGAATCCCCCGGTCCCGCTGCTGCCGTTGCTGCCGAACCCACCGCTGATGCTGGTAGGGCCGAGGCCGAGCGAACCGACACCAATCCCGCCGCCGCCGCTCGGTTCTGCACCCGGCCGAGGGGGAAGGGCCGGCGGCGGGCCGCTCTTCTTGAGGAGAGCGGATGCGAGGGATACGCTCTTGGCCGGCCGCTTGCCCTTCACGTGGTCCTGGTCAGATGTACGTGAGTGTGCGGCGTGTTCTTAGCAAAAGCATCGAACGCGCTACATGAGCCGGCTGGCCGATCAAAAGACGCGAGTCTCCTTGCCGCGAGCGCGGGAAACGGTTGCATGTGTACTACAATACCTTGCTGTTATCCCCTCAATAAACACGTTTCGATCTCTGCTTAGCACCTTCAGGCGTCCGTACCGCTCCAACAGCCGGGGACACGGTCCAAGGGAAGTTGTTGCTGCCGTTGTTGACTTCGCAAAACAATCCCCTCCGGTTTCTGCTCCGTACCTCCCAGTATCCGTAGCGGTGCAACTGACGCGGACGTCTTCCGCGGTCACACGCATGCTATGCTACCAGCTATCCCAAAGGGGCACACAACTCTAGAAATCGAACGGAAGCAGAAAAGGACCAAAATGTACCGTATCATACCTGACGGGAGTGGTAGTATTCCATGTCCCTCTCCGTTAGAACGCACCACCGCTTCTGCCAGTTGCCCGTCTCTCGCCTCTTCATCAGGAAACCCTTTGGTGTTGCAACCAGCAACCACCAATAACCAATCATTACAACAAAAAGGCGGTGCAGCGTTAGCCGCAAGACCCCGGGGGCGGCGGAGCGGTTGGAGGGAGCAAGTGAGTGTTCAGGCCAAACCGAGTGAAATTTAAGGCGGTCCAGCATTCGGCTTCCAGTCTACAGATCTTGCGAAAACAGCTTCACGCCGTTTCGCCGGGAAAAAAATCCGATAGCTCTGCAAACAAACCCTAAAGGCAGCGGGGTATTGTAAGGCAACGTAGTCGATCTTAGCACAAGAATGTCAAGCAGCTGCAAGCATCCACACACCAGCCGCAGGCACAGAAAAAACGAAACCACCTTCTTGAGCTCCAAAGAATACACCACTACACAGAATAAATCACCTCTGCACAGCATTATGAGCTAAAAAAACTAAACCACGGCAACACAAAACAAATCACCTACTTGCCAACAAGACCAAGCACGTCACAACAAGGCACCACCACCTTTCAACGACAGCACCTAGCAGGATAAACCCCCGACAACAAAGACGACCGCCCCCTTCCCCCCGCCCAAGCACAACAACGGCTGCAGTAGACGCTGAGTAGACGCCCACCTGGAACACCGGCTTGCTGGTCGTCATGGCGGGCATAGAGGTGTTCATGGTCTTCTTCGAAGCCAGGCCGCGAACGGCCGCCGCGCCTCCCGCCAGAGTCCCCAGCACACCCCCAGTCCTCACGGTGGTCACCCCCGCCCTCTGGCGCGCCTCCTGCAGAGC